TAGTAGCGTCCTTGCTCCTAGTAGTAAGGCCAGGAGCCCCTAGTAGCATTCTTGTTCCTAGTAGTATGGCCAGGAGCCCCTAGTAGCTTTTTGTTTCTAGTAGCCAAGGTAGACTTCATTGCACCCTGGAATGGAGAGAGGATCTCACAGGCGGGACGTCGATGGGACGACATCAAGGCGACCATGGTGACATGGTGACCTTTTTGAATTGTTTGCCATTGGACCGACTCCGAAAACAAGATCTGAATGGGTTTAGGTATGTTTAGGCTCTTTATTCTAGAACAATTCGATAAAGCATTCTTGTTGAACATGTCGTGAACAGCTGAATTCGCAAAGAGAGCAGCATTTGCCATTTCTCATGCAGCTTTCGACTTAAGAGCTCCGGTGAGGCATCGAATCCGCCGTTGCCCAGCTCCACAGTGACTCGTTTGAGAAGTCCACTCACTGCTTTTTGCTTTCTGTCGTAATTTGCATTTGTGACCCTTGTGGTCCATGGTCCAACTCTGTAAGGTGAGGTTGTCTAACTCTGCAGAGACAGAACCTGGTTCTATGATGCCGTGATCTGTAATGGTCTTGGTAATAGAATGTAATACATAGCACTCTGAAGCAACTCAGGGAGTCTTGTCGCGTCCTGCGACGCCCGCAACTCACGCAACGTGATGCCAAAAACGTCCGTGTCCAGAGATGGAGGCACTGCTCACACTGCTCACCGTCTTGAGGTCGAAAACGGAGGGTGAACTCCTTCGCAGAAAATACTGTAGTAGCTTCTAGTTGCTAGTAGCGATGGCCTCCACCTAGTTAGTAGCTTCTTGTTACTAATAAGGAACAGGGTGTGTTCTGTCAACTTTGCCCCAAAGGTGGCAACTCCTGCCACGGTAGCGTTTTTGTGAGGTTCGGTGCCGAGGCCGGATAGCTGTAGGTGACGTGTGCCCCTTTCCTGGTTCTATTCACTAAAATTACCTAAGGCTCCCATCTTCAAGTCCCTGGGCTGCTTTTCTACAGATTTGCCCCCCTGCGACATTGGCTTGGAAGCTCTACGACAAAGCCTGCATGAGGAGTAGATGAGGGAGAGTTTTTTTCTTTTACAGATGCTAGTTTCAGAAGAAAGAAGAGACATCAAATGAAAAAGATTATAGTCTATACACATGTGGTCAGAAGATGTCACATGTCAGTTTCATAGATTGTCAAATTGTCGTCAAAACGCCATCTCGCTCGAGTCAGCCTGGCCAGTACCCAGCATTTCGTTCCCGTTTCAAAAGACATGTCAATGTGTCAACATATCTCCACCTAGTGAGCCTAGAGCTGTCTACAAGCACGAGTTCCATGACTGCCAAGAACCAGTAAATCACTCACTCAAACGACAAGATGCACCAGATGGTTTGTGCGGGGTAATTTCACTCACAGTCTTTTGTGCCTCTTTGGGTGGAGCTCCAAGGATATGCGTGACTTTATCGTGACCTATATCGTTACTAAAGGGCATTTCTACTAGGAGCGGCATCGCTACTGGAAACAAGAACGCTACTAGGGGCTCCTGGCATCTCTACTAGGAGCAAGGGCGCTACTAGGAGCAAAGGGCATTTCTACTAGGAGCGGCGTCGCCACTAGGAACAAAAATGCTACTAGGGTCTCCTGGCATCGCTACTCCCTGTCCAATTCTGAGCTTCTGTCACGCCGTAGGAGCGGTGCCGGCTGTGGCGGGCTACCCTTCTATCGCTTGGCCACTGGGAGTCCACGGACCTGTGCAGAGTTCTGTGGCATGGCGAGATTTTCGTGTATCAGGAATTCTGAGGCTTCTGAGTGCTTGAGATTGTTTGCTTAGTGTAGTGAGAGCTTCAACTTCGAGATTGCGCTGAGGCTTGAGCAAAAGCCTCGATCTCTCTGGTGTTCTGGATGGTGTGCAGTGCCGCTGTGGGGCCTCGGCCAAGCATCCGTGCCTTGGCGCACAAGCATAGGAACGGAAAATCCAAACGCCAATGTGTACGAATGACATGCACTCTTCTTTTTTAGGTCGTTTCGGGCAAGTAGTTTCCATAGTTGTAGGGCGTGTTTGGCTTATCAGATCCAAGATCCTGCAGTAGTGAGGGGCAGGCGGCAGGAGGGTGTGAATTTTTGGGTTTTGCAGATGATGAACGACGGGTTCTCCAGAAGCTGCATTTTGTTTTTCTTTTTAAATCAAAGCCCACTTCTTACGTTTGTCCATCGAAGTAGTAGGGCAAGGGAGGCGGGGTGTTGAAAAAATGGCGCACTGTTTTTCCACGTTTGGTCCAGATCACTCAACCCCAAGTAGGAGATGCTCCCAGTCTGTCACTGTGAACCCAGGGCACTATTTGTTCAACGGGTGCGTCGTGCTTTGGGTCCGCATCACTACCCAGCCCACCACCGCGTTGCCCAAATCGGATCTTTGCAGCTCTTGTCGGACTGTCGTGCGCCGAAGCCCGTTATACTTTGGATGACAACCCCCAGCGAAACCTCCAAAGTGTGCTTTGATTTCTGTAAGCAATGCAAAATGTAGGAAAACACGGCGAGCCCGATGCACGTGCTAGAGTTCTTTCTTCCAACTCGATGGGTCAATGGGTTTTGGTCTTGGTTCTCTTTCAGGCTGTCCACAGGAGCTGGATTAGTCGGGAAAAGAGCTTGTTGGTCTATTCGAAGCGACAGTGCCACTGAGGATTTGGCACACACGTGCTAGGCCAGACCTGCAACTTTGCTGGCAAAGCGAGCCAAAGTGTTCGATTTGTCAAACATGGCTTATTTGTCGGCAAACATGTTGCTCCGGAGATGGTTTGCAAAGATTCTGTCCCACAGTTGCATGTATTAAGATTCCACACCACAAAATTGGAATTCATTTAGTTCGTTTCTGACGTCAAATAATCCAAAGTCAAAAGTAATAACAGTACTACAGTACTGCCTCGATTGAAGAGACAAGCAGGACCAAGTACAGTAGATGTCCAAGAACTATGTAGACAGTCTTCGACGTCCGGTGCGTCGCAGAAATCCTTCGACAAATCCCGGTGCTCGCTATGTCGACTGAGGCAGTGGAGTCTTGACTGCAAGTGAAGCGTTGAGTAACAAGAAGCTATTAGGAACAAGTGCATCGCTTCTAGTAACAAG